TCTAGATTGAGGACACCCCCTTAATTTACTCAAAATAAAGAGTTTATTGAATATAGACTAAAGAGATTATAATGAGAGAAATATTTCTCTTATTAAATATGTGAATAATAAATTGATAGTAATTATGGATTTGTGTTTAAAATTAAAGTTCATTGGCGAAAAATTTATAAAGGTTTTGTTTGTCTTGATTTGTTAGAACTAATTTTGTGCAAAGTGCTTTTTTTTTATAGAAAATATATGTTAAGATGCAAAATTATTTTATTAAAATATATGATTAAAAATAAATTTAAAGAAAAGTAATTTTAAAAAATAAAAATCACACTGTGCAAATATGAATAACTAATATATTTTTTCTAATAAGAAAAAGAAAAAGAAAAAGAAATCCTTTCCAAACTTACTTTTGCAACCTTTCTTCTCCGTCCTCTCTCTCCCCTACCAATAAGCAATATTTCCCCCAAATTGTGATCATAAAAAAAAAAGAAGAAGCTATATTTCCCCCAAATTTATACTCTGTTTCCTGTACCTACAAACTGTGATCATCCCCGTTTTCAAAATTCGGAGTTGTTGGTGGAAGAGGAAATTAGCTTTTTCACGCATATATACACCAAGTTCATCTAGGCCGTTAAGCTCCAAAACCATATTTTAATTTCTTGAATAGGGTTTTGTTTACAAGGATCCCCAAATACTGAGAACAAACCATTGAAATTTCATGCCAATTTGCCCACAAAATGCGAATTCTTAAATGGGTCGTCTTTTTTATCCCGTAGGATTTGTATCTCGGTTAACCCTTTGACAATGGGGGCTTTAACCATCAACCGTAAGCGCGGTGAGGATTATATCAAATCCCGGGCTCTATTTTCGCCCTTATTTGATCACTCATACACTCACGTTTCCAAGAAGCCCCGGCTTCCAAATTCCATGAATCAAAATACCGTTGATTTTGATCGGCCCTTATCCGCAAAATCTGTGAATTCGAGGATCTCTGAGTACCCAGATTCGAAACCGAGGTTCCGGAGGGAAGTTCATGCCCCAATTAGGAGTTACAGATTTGGGTTTTCAGTAAGTAAGAAAATTGAGTCTAGTTCTAGTTCTGAAGAAAGTATAGTTGTTAGAATGGGGAATATTTATGGAACTCTTAAATCAAGGTTAGAAGAGGCAAAAGTTATTGCAATGAAAACTTTCAGGTATGTTGGGAAAGAGAATGAAAAAGAAGTGATTGAGATTGATGATGAGAAGGAAAGGCAAGGTGATATATCAGAGGAATTGAGTGTTTCGGAGGTGGAGGTAGTGGATTTTCCAACGAGCAAGTGGAAGGAGGGGAATGATGTTTTGAGAAATTCACAGGAGCTTAAGGGGAAAATGGTTGAAAAGAATTTTCAGTCATTAGATTCTTCTGTTGTATCGGATGCAAGTTGTGTGAATGTAAATGTGGATTCTACGGAAAATAAGATGGACTTAAGGCTGTTGAACCAGGAATCAGATATGTCGGGGGTACCTGTTCACAGGAAGCTGTATGATTCTGCAAAGAAGAGGAATGATAAGCTGGGTATTTTAGGTTTTGCCATAGAGTTACAGGAGAAGATCTTTCAAAGGCTTCAATTATTTCGGCCTCAGAGGAAAATGGAAGAAACTAAGAAGGTGACAATTTTTTGACATCGCTTCTTCCAGGATGTGTTATTTTTGTGCAAATCTGCTGGATTATCCTGTATCTCAGTGTGACTGTTGTTTATTTATTTCCTTAAAATGAGTTTCATTGATTTTCAGCAGGTGCCGGATGAATGTTTTAAGCCTCTTACTGTGGAGGAAGAGGCTCAGGTTGCTTGGGCTTTGTCAAATTCCAACAGGTATATTGTGTTATAGCACTTCATCTTTAATTGGATTGGATTTCTATGTATCTACTCATTTTTATTTTTTGGCATTTTGTTGCTGCTCAACTTATATAGGAGAAAGGTTTTGGTGAGTCATAAGAATTCTAATATTGATATTACTGGAGAAATACTGCAGTGTTTAAAACCGGGGGCATGGTTGAATGATGAGGTACTTTTGTCTTTCAATTTATTTTATTTATTCATTTTTTTGCGTGATGAGGGAAATGGAAGAGGATTTTATTGAGCTGGACAAAGCTAAAGTCGGATGCTTGTGATGGCTTTTCTCTGCCTGGTTTCACGCTTATTTGCTTTGCAGGTCATTAATTTGTATCTAGATTTATTGAAAGAAAGGGAAAAAAGAGAGCCGCAGAAGTTCTTGAAATGTCATTTCTTTAGCACATTCTTCTATAATAAGGTCTGTTCGTTGCTCTCAGTCCTTTCCTGTCTAATATTCATGATAATATTTCATGGAAATCTTTTATACACATGCTATTACTATTTAGTAGTGTATCAGCCTGTTTGGGTTGATAGTCCCATTTTTATTTGATATTTAATGTTGTGATCCATCAAAACATTTCATCATGTCAAGAACAATTTATCCATATATTTTTCAGATCTGAGCTTACATTAGAATATTTTCCTATTTCACGTGACTGCTCAAATCTGCTAGGGGTCAGAAGGTGAATCGGCACATAATTCAATCCCCCTTTTAATGGATTTCATTCCTTTTTGGTCAAACTGACATTTCTGTGGGATGGATTTACATTATTTTCCTCTCTCTCTGATTTTTTTTTTTTTTTTGACTGAATATCTTTCGAGATGGGAGATTTTGATTTTACTTTTATGATGGCATAATTTTGTTAATATAGATGCTCAAAAAGGTGAAGTGTGGACAACGAAAATCAAATAAACGAATATGTGCTGGGATATGGTATTAAGTTACTAGGCTTATTTCCCCTATATAAATTGAACTTCAGCTCACAAATTCTGAAAATTTGACTTCATTACCATGGTGCTGGTCGGATGTAATAATGAAGTGCAATTATTTTTTTCTATTTCACTTATGCTGCTTTACAGCTTACCTTAACATGATGAAGTAGCCAATCATAAGCTCTTTCCTTTATAAAATAATCCAAACCAATTTTGATATGTAGCACTTCCACATTATGGAATTCCTCATTTGTTGTCAGCATAGTTACTTCTATATTTAAGCTTTTTACACCTTGTCTCATTCTATCGGGTGCACGTGCTCTGCATGATTATATATTTATGGCTTCTTTTCATGGTACCTTCACAGCCTAGTAGCCTATGAACTAGTCATAGTTGCATTCTATTAAGGATGGTTTATTTTATTGTCCTGAATCCTTTGGGTCATTTGGTTATTCTCAGCTAATTGGTGGTAGAGGTGGCTACAATTTTCAATCAGTTAGAAGATGGACTACCCAAAAAAAGCTGGGATATAGCCTCTTGGAGTGTGATAAAGTCTGGTTTTATAATTACTTTCTCTTTTAAGTATAATTTTTCTTTATTTTGCCCCATCAAATGTTCCTTATTCTCATTGTGCAGTGTTTATTTATTTATTTTTTTTCCCCAGATTTTTGTCCCTATCCACAAAGAAGTACATTGGTGTTTAGCAATTATAAACAAAAAGGATGAAAAATTCCAGTATCTTGATTCACTCAGAGGAGTTGATGCAAATGTAATGAAAGTACTGGTATGCTTGCTATCTTATTAATTAAGAAGTAAACACAGTCTGAATTTTTACCTTTGGTTCTTTTATCTCTCTTTTTTACTTTTTTAAATGAACAAAGGAAGGGAGAGGGAGGTAGTTCTACAGCAAAAACTAGCAAGGCCTTTTGCTCAGTAACTTTGGAATTGGGTGCATGAATCTTATTCGCCTGTCCACTAGCCCCTTCCTAGATCTGCATCCTTAGCAACTAGAAAACACCATGTTAATTTATATTTACCCCTTCCTCTTCTAACATGCTTTAAGCTGTTGAGGTTGATGCGAAACATGACCAAACCACCCAATTCATCCTTCTTTTAGTTTCCTCGGTTGGTGCCCGGTGGCTCCTTCATTTATCTTATCTATTTTTGTATGGCCGCATATCCATATTAGCATCCCAATTTCTGCTACATTAATCTTATGGACATCTTCTCTTTTAATGGCCCAACACTTGGAACCAGAAAAGCATAGACAATCGAAGTGCTGTTTTGTAGAGCTTGGGGGTACACATGGTGAATACAAGGTGATGTAGTACCAATAGGATGATTAATAGAAAAAGAAGACAGATTCAGAAGGAATAGGGAATTAAGGGAGGTGGAAGAAGAAGAATTCAACAGAAGGAGAGGGATGTGTCATAAGCCACCAAAATAATTATTCATTCGTCAACTGAAAATTACAAAGCAAAGTATATTTAAATAGTAAAGCAAACCTTAATGAGATTGGGCCCGAGCCCATACAAATCCAATTTTCTAAATAATAGTCCAAGAACATAAATAAATATTCGATGTCCTCATCAACTCTCCCGGGGTGGGAGAAAACTTGACCCTGTTGAATGGATAGATTACTATAGGCTGTTGTCAATCTCCCAACCATAAGCTGAGTGGGTGGCAAGCTTCTTCCGGTGTCTGTAGAAATGTGTCAGTGGAGATCTGAACCCGGTGTCCTCACCAACTCCCCTTGGGTGAACGGGAGGCGATCTAGGTCAAGGAAGATCCTGCTGACTC